TAGTGGAGGATATGGCTAACAACAGAATGACTCATTAGTATAAAACAGGGAACACATGATACAGTCGCTCAGTAAGGCCGCCTTTGTAAACCGAAGGAAAAGAAGCTCTGAGTGGGTTTATATTGCCGTACAACTACCCCGCCTTGTGTCGCTAATTTGCGCAAACTTAGCACTGTGCTCAGATGTTACGCAGTTCACCGTTTGTGCAAAATTTCGGCCCGCAAAATACTGACACTTCAGGAGTTTGTGCTGCTGGTGCGTCTGCAGTTCGATGTTACCCGATTGGACAGAACTTGGTGACGTGTCCTCATCCACACCCACCAATCGGTGTCAGGTATATACCTACGAATGCAGTCTGGTGCGGCGTACACTGCTCGGGGGAGCTTTGCGGTTCCAATTTATTGCGTGGCAATGTTTTCGGGTCCGCTGCTTTGGTTTTCTATCGAACCCAGTGGTGAACTTTTCTTTGAGAGTGAGTTCACATTTAATTTCCTCCGCCCTATATGTGGTGTTTACTATAAGCGGCTGGATATCGTCATAATTTTGGTTGTAGGGTACAATAGCGTGATTAACAGTGATTTATCACTGGTAAGAATGTAGTTGCTTGACAAATACCTTAGGATACTAGGGGTGAAACTACGATATCCAAAGATGTAAATGGTCTGTTTGAGCGGTTGATTAACCATATTGTAGAAGGAGAATGGTATGCAAGCATCGAAACAAAATGGGGGCAGTTCTTGCTGCGGTTCTCCGTGAGGAAATTTAGAGTATGAATACTAACTCATTTACCGCTTCCTTACGTCTCTGTGACATAAATCGGAAGCGATTGAAGCCAGGGGTAACATCCAACCTTATTTCGAATATCCATGTCGGGGGAGGAGACAAATGAGTTTGACAAACTCGAGGGGAAACAAGTTCTATCGGCATCCCAGGGGTTATGTTATTCAACGAGTTACAACCAGATATCTCTGAGCTTGTTGTTGTGGCTAAATTTTGACAAGTGAGAGCAAACGTGTTTGGGATCGCTAACTGTTTGGTGCATTAATATGCCCTTGCCTTGCAGCCTTCGAAAGCGTTTACAGATAACTCCCAGCAAGTTCAGACTTCGCTGAGAAGTGTGATTGTGTAGACCCTTCACATTTTCTGTTGCCGCGTGCTGTGGTGCCTCTAGCCCCTATAGGTCAGGTATCAACCAAGGCTGCAAATTTTGGACAGCGTATTCAATGTATGGGCGCCCGCAGGGATAGTGCATCATTGGGAAGAGCGTTTGGTCAATTCCTCCGAATGTCCTTCACAACAGGCCAGAGTGCTGGTTGTCTCTTTTAGCGGGTGGCTCAGAATGTTGTGAACAGCTAAGGTCAATTTGAATGAGCACACCATGGTCGCGTTCCTGGGAACTAGACTGCAATATGTTTGTCCAAAGTCGGTACACGTGGTTATGCCTAGGTCGTAGTTTAACAGTGCGAGGTTTGTCCAAATTGTATGATAATGCATTCAGAACCGGAAGTTCGAAATCACCTTGAGGTTGTGCTGGAGCTGTTTGTGGTCGTCCGGTTCCCTGATCGCTCTTTATATGCCAGAATCGTCAATGAAGAATAGGGAATCGGAAGTAACTGCCCTCATAGATCGATTGTGAATTACATAGCATCGATATCTGAGACATCACACTCAAGCACAGTTGAGTCGGGGAGAAATTCTCTGCTTCTCTACTGCGCCCCACTTTTGTGTAAGAAATAACCTGCCTAACGCAGGGTTGTGTCGCCAGTGCCATAGATCCGAGGCTTTTGAAGGAGAATTCAATGGTCTAATCGGTCAGACGCTTTTGGGAAGTCTAAATAGGTGACACCAATTTCTGCTTCAACACAATTGGTTCCGTCCAGCTATTGCGTGCAGTTAGTATTTTCGCAATACATAAGCCATATAGTTAGAAGCTATTTTACTCTGGGGCTGTTATGCCCTGGTTTTCCATGTGCTTCATCTATGCTTCTTCGATGATTAGTTTCATTGCTTTGGCAAATACAAGATGCGGCGTTTCGGGCGGTACTTGGTTGGTATAATTCCCTGGCCATGACAAGTGTACTAGAGATAAACATTTCTTTCAACTAATGCTTTCCGAAACGTTGAACATTGTCTTCTATATTCGGATCTTTTCCAGTTAAGCCCCGCCAAAATGCTAAGCCCCGCCACCAAAAATGATTATGAAAAGGGAGGATATGGAACTTGAACTTTTACTCTCTATTGAAGAGGGTGAAATTGAGACAAGTCATTAATAATTTGCATGAAAATGTCCATTTTTCGGTGTCTTTGCCTCCAAAAGAACTCACAGAGTTAGCTGTTCACTAAAGATCGTTGTGTGCCGCATTGGCGCTTATTCTGCATCTTGTAAATGTGCCAGAGAGAATCGATGGTTTGTGTGTGAGCTCCAGTCGTTGGATCCACAAAGTTTTCGGTATGATGAACCATTTGATGAGTATAACTCATGCCAATCATCGATTCAATGCATTGGTATGATACCCACATATGGGAAATCATAATTGAGCCGGGAGCGACGCAGGCCTGGATTGTGTCCAGCAGAGTGGCCGCAGTTCGATCTGGCACTGCATACAAGAACACTTCTTTAGTCTCCCGGCAAATCCCTCCGAAAATCCACTGCTGGGTTAGGACTTGCCCTGCATGGTTTTTACGACGTGATATTAGGGTTTCATCGATCTCGACATGTAGACCTGGGCCGCCGACAATCGTTGGAGTCTGCAAAAGCTGTCAGGCGCAAATTTCACGCAGAAAGTTCTTCCAGTCGACAGCGGTCGAGTGGCCAATAGATAAATCATCTGAGCAGAATTTGACTGTTGTCAGATTTTTGGACCACAATAACTGAATAGGATTATTGTCCTGAAATCCATCCTAAACCGCTCCAGCCAAGTTCCCTTTCGAAGACCGATTTCTTGCCCACACTGTCGGGCATCACACCTCCACCCGTCAGAAACATTTGGAAGTGTCATTTGGTGTCCTCGTCTGCATAAACGTTGATGATGAATCACTCCATGGCTTTGCAAAAAACGTATTGCTGTTTCCTTGTCATGAACGACCGCCGAAAGCGTCAGAAAGTTCATGTCAGGTTTTACGTGCGAACGTAGTAACAACAACAATTACCTTAGAAGCGGATAAGGAGTGTTTTTATGGGGCACGTTTACATGCATTACGTACACTGGAGCTGGCAAACAGTGGCGGGGATCAACTTTTCACGCGTGCCCTTTTTGCACTATTGGTGGGGCTTGATTTTTCAGGTGTACCCTTTTTGCCTTAGTGGCGGGGCTCAACACTTTGTGTGTGCTCTTTTTGGATTAGTGGCGGGGCTTAAGTTGAAAAGATCCCAATATTCCTTACAGCATTTGTAACAGCGAATTTCCGCATCTAGTAAACGGCCATGTTTGACATGGAATGGTCCTCACTTAACAGGATGCTACAAAGCCCATTGGGAGAGAGCAGCATCGAAGACAATTCCAATCCGAGTGGTGTAACTAAAGAACGGATCACGAAATTCCGACTACTCTTACTAGCATCTGTTTCGCGAGTGATTCGGTGCGATATGTTCTAAACAATGAATTGCCACATTCCCACCTCAAGTATTCGCTTTATTGGCATGTGATGCGGTTCATTATACCAATACCTTCGTCCTCGGCGATGCAAAAGGGAAAAACAGTCAACACTTTCATTGTTAACGATGGTCTCAAGATATGGCGGGCCAACAATGTAACGAGTGACGATGTGCAGCTCCGGGAGGACCTTGATAGTGTATACGAATAGGCGACTCAACACCTGCTTCAATTCCAACGCCACAGAGTGTAAGACGTTACGCATACGTTGTCAATCCACTTGCGAGTACAGGTTGGAGGATCAAGCTTTGCAGCTTGCTACGACCAAAATCCATCTAAGTGTGCGAGTACATGAGGATCTCGGCTGTGCACCTCAGGCCGAGTAGGCGTCCAAGAAATCCAACCAACATGGCATTTTGCGGAGAGGTTGCGGCCGTTTTGACCATTCAATATTTTTTCAGATACCCAATGCCTGTATTAGACCCTATTCAGGATGTGTTGTTCACACCTGGCAGCACTGGCACAAGCACGACCTCACCGCACTTGAAATGCCACAACGAAGGTCTCTTAGACTAGCAATGCACTTATCCCTTGGGCTGCTTTTTTCACTATAGCCAACGTGGGTGACTTTTCAACTACCTACGGTTACACGTGATGAATCATTGTTCATTGTTCAATACAAGGCTTGCCTGCAGATGTCTATAGACATCAGTATGTAAGCCTGATATTCGCAGCATATGTGTGGGCTTCAGATTGTTGAAACAGGAGGCCACACGCACCTCTAGTAGTAGTGACATCATTGTCGGTCGCGGTAGAAACAACGCAGCAAACACACTGTCTCGGGATGTTCACCTGGCTCGATTTCGCTTTTGCGCAAATTTGTGCATTTTGATTGTGGTCACTACAGTCGATTATGATACGTGCTTTTGGACAGCCAAACAGATCTTCTGTCTATCTGCGACTTATGAATCTTTCAACAACAAACGTCTACGACATTCTCGTGGACCGCTGTAACAGTTGGTTTGATGTCCCTCCTTAAGCGAAATGAATTCCATTTTAAAATCGCTTTGGTTGTCCTGATGTTCGTAATCCAAAGCACCTGTTCACGCATCTGTGCTTTTTTTGACCTGATCATTGTACAAATTTTTCTTGCAGTTCATCAGCGTACAAGCGGCGCAACCGCAACTGTGAAACTGGAAACTAGAGGAAAATATATACTGCACTACAAGCTGGTGTCCACTGAACATGAATTGTACCATTTCAAGCCTCGTTATGGTAATTTCTGTTTATGGCAACCTGCGCATGTAGATGGTGAGCTGATTTTTAAAAACATCGCGCGTAGTATTTATATTGCCATTCGATTATTACCATGCGGAAAGCCGGAAACACGAGCTAATCGTCCATATCATGCTAGCGCAGACCGAGGAAGAGGAAGATTTGCGTCAGCTGGTACGTGAACACTGCAATTTCTTCATTCGCCATCACTCTCTGTTTCTAGTGGGCACACGCCAATCCAGCTAAAATTCTGACAGGCAGAGTGATGTGCATTCCTTGCGTGCGTGGAGAACTGGCTATGGAACCGAACCACGAGCTCTTGTTTGAAGGTACTCAATTAATCTCTCATATGTCTACTTTTGAGGTTCATTCGATGTACCGTTTTCGTCCAATTTCCTCCTGACCAACCCTTCGGGAGTTTTGATGCACTTCGATGTAGAGACCTCGTCTACTAAGCTTTCAGTCTTTCCACCAGATGGGACCATTAGTGTAAAGAACAGGAAGGAATTGATTGGTAATTATTACCTACCGTGTACTAATCGTTCTTCAGTCATTCGCAAACCACTGAAGTCAGGCGATACCACTGCAACTAACGAAACAATCACGATACAATCGGCAGTGCTTCCGCGCAGTCCCGCGGAGCCCTCTAAAGAAAAGGTGTGTCAGTTTGCGCTACCTAAGCTCAACGTCATCGTTGTTCTTTCTGCAGTCGTCCACCCAGAAAAAGTACAGGACAATCAAATGTGTGTACAAGGTGTTGAACACATCGTCGTCCGTAAGTGCTTCGTTTATGGCATATTTTCCATAAAGTATAGTCATCAGCATTGATGGTTCTTTGGTTATAGCCACATTGAGCACATTGCGGTAGATCCTACCCGTTTCCGGCACTGTGCCCGACATCACTTCAGCGCACGTAGAAATTTGCGGGTGAATTTATCTGTGGTTATATTAAGACGTGTTGAATAATTGGCAACAACATATGACCGGCTGATAGAGCGCAACAATGTGGTTGAAATTGTTTACATTGATGGGGCTAGCCATTGTCCTCTGCACAGTTCGTAACTGGCATGGCAGTGGAAGATGAGCCGGGCTATATCATAGTCAACTGTCAATCACAGAGTCTAAGGCTGTCACCCATGGCGAAGTGGCACTAGCTGCTGGCATTCTGAAGTCATGCGGGCAGAATCCGGCAGGGTTGCGCTAGGAGGTGCACCGCTGACGAGACCCAGAAGGTCGAAACGCCGGCATCTGGTGCTTTTCCAGACTACCCTAAGCCTGCAGATTGGGAATGGCGATTGTGAATTAGCTGAATTATACCAAAAATCCTCACTACTCATCAGTACATTGGTGAATGCCTCATTCGAAACGGACGATAATTGTTGTTACCATATGGTTAATTGATATTGGTGCAACAAGTAGTCGCTAGATTCTACGCTAATGTACATCTTTGTTTTGCTCATTCCAATTCAGTGATTCCTTTTCTCACTGCAGCTCACAAATTCTAAATCAGTGGGGGATGCTTTGTTGGCTCCTGGTTAGATCGAGGTTTTCTGATGTGACTCGCTCGTACATCAAGAATCGACACGCGTTTATTGTCCAGCCATACAACAGTTACTTTCCTTGCTTGTTCATTGTAAAGTTTATGAGCCACATTTGTCCAGAGGTTTCCTCCAAATCTTAACTACTAATTGCATCAAACTATCTTTGTACTGCATTTCAATAGCAATCATCCGCGTCGCATATATTGTTCCTGGTGGTGTTTCACTGATGCTGTTTGGTCAGTGGCCAATGGCATATTGCTGCGAGGCAAGGAATAAAGCCTGCCATATCCTGCTAGATGATCGATTAGGGGTGAATGCAGTGGAGGCGCACGATAACGCTAAATTTACGATGGAATCTGAACGTCATGGTACGATGTACTTTTCAGACGTCCAACTAACAATAGTTCAGATTGGTCGATCCAACTCAGGGTGCACAGAAATGCTACGTGGAATGGACAGTACATACATTTGGACAGCTTTCTCCCACTAAGCCAGAAGCGGAATTTGATTACATGTTTAAAAGAATGGGCAAGTAGGATTTGTACTGATGACACGCTTCCGGAGGAGCTGAATTTCTTAGCTGGACTTTTTGGAGAGAAACGACTATCCCCAGAAGTTTATCCGGAGAAATATGGAGTGCAAAGAATGGAGGGTTGAAGCTGACTCCGTTGAAAAGAAATTCGTTTACTTGTCGTTGCCGTTCAAACGGGATGTAATAGCGCAGGTAAGGTCTAGAAGTCTATCCAACGCCATAAAAACTACCAACTACGCGGGAAGCATACGGCTATGATTTACTTCAAAACCAGTCCTAGGGCTTAAACTCAAAGACTGACTTCCTCGGTCAAGTAATAGTTCCTGTGCAGGCTTTTACTTCTTAATTTCGCGCAAGTTATATCGAAAAAAAACAATCAGACGATTATCTGAGAGAATCCGTGTGCATTCCCCGAGTTGGCTGTTTGCATGCGGACCAAAAACCGTGATGGGTACGTGGTGGGGAAATCTAAACCATTTTACACGCTTGTTAGCGCATTATCCAAGCGTTTAGCATGACACTGTCAAGATCGCGTACAGTGCTTTCAAGTCAGCGAGGTTAAAAACCCTGTCATGGCCCTGTTGGCAATTTCATTGGTCAAGGGAAGTTGGCCACTGGGACAACGGTTGGAAGCGTCCAGCATAAGCGTCTGACAGTCCAGCGAAAAAGGTCGAGCACCACCATCTCTTCTTTTATGTTGCCTATCTGAAGGAAACCTCGATGAATGCTCTCCAAAATGAAAGCGTCCAATGGGCGAATTGCGATGCCGGTCTAAGGCGGAGATCATAGCTACCACATGATCCAAAGCTCAAGCCGTAACCAATGCGGACAGACATACAAACCAGCACATGATGCGGTCTATACTTAGTGATCGCTAACGACAACCTGGTGGTGGATAACCCAGCGGTTTAACCATGGTGGCATAGACAAGTAATATTCTAGCTGGTATTCCGCAGTTAAGCTATGGCTGCTAGGCGGTTAGACACTTTTGTGTGATTGTTATTGCGATGATCATGGCGGACATTGTTCATATTGAAGTTAGTAGACCAACCTGAAGCTGAACAACGAAATCTCTAGGTTTGCACTTCTCTCACAGTTGATGACTAAACACAAATTAAGAGGATTCCAAGTGTGGCGTTGACATGACGTAAGTGAGTGTTCATTTGAATCCACACCCATGGGCGAAATTGTTAATCAGTTATCGCTTCAGTGTCTCCATGTATGGCGTTATTTATAGGTCATAGGAAACGACGTATTCTTAGGATAATTAGGCTTCACTTCCATATGGTCGCCCATACGTGTTGAGACGCTTTGACAAGTGGCTCTCCGAATGCACCATTAGAAGCACAGTCGATGCAGATGGAACCTCCCTATAACGTCCATGGACTGCAATCCTATCCTCATGAAATCGGCATTACTCAACTTAGAAACACCTAAAGGGTCTACAATAACTACGGTATTTATACATGCCCCATCGTCCTGCTAGAAAAACGCTAGGCTGATAATAAATTCCGACGCACGCATTTTACTATGGTACTTCAGATGAGTATTTAGAACAGGTAAAATGTTGTCTCAACCACGGGCGTTCCTACAATGAGTTTGCAATAATTTACAAAGGCAACCGCGCCCACAGAGCCTGCTATGGATCACTGTTTCAGCTAGTCTTAGAAGCAGTCGATACACTGGTTGTTATCGACTATGTCGCTTATGTTTAAGGTGCTACGGTTCGAACATGTCAATTCCAGTATTGATGCGTGATGACGGTACTCATGCGTATAAGGTCTGTGACAAGGCCTGCGTACTTACTGGACAATATGCGCCAGCGTTTGTAAGAGTAACCTCTTTGACATGCGTTGAAGCTGGTTTGCGGGATGGGAGAGAGTTCAGGACTATCTGAATTTATTGTAGCGGAGACGGAAGCTCGTAGTCTGTTACAAAGACTGAACCCTTCTAAGGCCTCTAGACCTGGTTTAATTCACCCGGAACTCATACATGACTTTGCTGCGGAACTAACTGGACCGCTCGCTATACTGTTTCTGAAATCGCTTGACAGCCGTGCATTGCCTTCAGAATGGAATGGAGCTGTCATCTGTCACATCTTCAAAAATGGGGACAGGAGTCTGCCTGCAAATTACAGGCCAGTTAGTCTGACGAATGCAGTAGCCAATCACCTCGGGAAACTGGTGAGAGTTTCATTGGGGGTCATCAGAGTAGCTTTAATCTACTTAGCAATGAACAACACGGATTCCGGAAGGATTTTCATGTCTGACAGATCTACTTGTAGCTCGAGAAAGTTGGCGGATGTAGTGGATATCGGCCACGCACTGGACTTGCTTTTCGTCGACACCACGAAGGCATTTGACAAGGTTCCCCATTTGAGGCTGGCTCAAAATCTGACCTCCTATGGGGTATCTGGCCTCGCCCTTCATTAAGTGACTGCCTTCATGGAGGGTAGAGAACAGCGTGTACGGGTATGTCGGGGCCTAACCTTTAGGCAGTCTGTCCTCAGCGGCGTGCTGCAGGGTTCGGTCTGTGGACCGCTGCTGTTCTCCATCTATGTGATTGACCTACCCGCGGAGCTTGAGGTACCGTCGCTGTTATTCGCTGAGGACCTGAAGCTGTGGAACATTGTCGATGTTCCTGGGGTTTCCGAAGCTATTCAGCGAGCATTGGATAAGTTTTGGGACTGGTCTACATTAGGGTTACTGCACATAAATCAGGCAGTGTTCCGTTCTTCGAATTAGAGGAGGTTATCTTCGTACGAAGTAATTGTCTGTTGGCTCAATCTCGTGTATCTAGCCAGGTTGACGTAGGCTTCGTACATTCTTCGGCTTTACACTCCGGTTAAAACTGGAAGAAGTTCACATGCAGCGTTTTCCGCATGTTGTGGTTAATAAGAAGTTCTTTCGGAGTTTTGAAGGGCGGCAACTTTACGAGACTTTTCTCGGCTTTCGTTCGGCCTCATCTGCAATACTGCGTTCAGGCTTGTCCGTCCTGCGTTTTCCGGGACAAAATGAAACTAGAGAGGGTTTTACCAGTGGGTAATATGTCAGTCGTGGGATTACGGGGACGGACAAACCCGGAGCGTGTACTTAGTTTGGGAATGCATTCAATGCACCACCGAAGGATTAGAGGAGACTTAATCCCAAACTACCGTATCTTAACTGGAAGGTTGGTCCAGATTTATCTGGGCTATTCAGTCCCGCTAAAATTTCTGTTGTACACGGTCACTATTTGAATCTGGAAAAACCTAGGTCCGATCGGATTGGGGCAAATATCCGGCTCTTACGCAGAGTCATTGAGCGCTGGAACATGCTTCCGGAAAGTGTTAGCAGGGTATCTACGGTTAAGGTGTTTGAGCGGCAACTTGACGCTTTTGGGTGGCAGAAAGAAACTTTTCTATTTTCCAGAGTAACGCATCTGCGTTCTTCGATTTCTTTTCTCTACCTTTCTTCACGCATTGGTATCATTTTCTTAGTTCAATTGCACGTCCGTGTGATGGAAATTCGTTTTCTCTTTCCATCTTTTGCTTACTTCACGTGAGTGTCAGAGCAGGGAGTGCAAGGGCAGCAAACGTGGACATTTACTGGTTGACAAGGGTTCGATAAGGGTTTTTAGTTTTAGAACAATCAATAACTGAGCACTTCCTCAATTCCTGGCCAAATGATCCACTCAAGATGGAACACTCCCGGGATTCGCCTTTCGTTCCAGTCCCACACGAAATTGAACGTGAAATTGAACTTGATTGGCAACTACTCGGAAACAATTTGTCATTGGAAATTAGGTAATTCCGGAGGCATTGTTGAAGGAGGAAAATTGCTCCGAACTCTATACTTACTATGCGTATGCAATTCTCGTTGGCAGATCATATCGGGACCGTAGGGTCACTTGGTATTTCAAGCTTATCAATCACTTGGAAGGGAAGTGTAAATATCATGTTCAAACTCAGAATTGACATAAATCTTCCGAGCTTAATATATCGGCAGGTCCATGGGTCCTGAAGCCGTAACTGATTACCCAAGTGGCCCACAGGTGTGGAGACGAACGAACACTCACTAATGTCGTGTCACCGCCACACTAGGAACGATCCTCTTTTGAACAATGGCTACAGATTCACTGATGGTCTTACCTACCCAGCGAATTTGACCTTAGCATACAATGCGCTGACTACATCAGCAGTATGTAGCTACGCTACTCACATGAGTGTACGGCCAACTGAAAATACACAGCACGAGAACTTTGTAGCTGTGAGTGCTTAAAAATTGCTCTTTGGAAGAAACCCTAACTTTACCTACTTCATATGAATTACCGCCTTAGTTCTGATTACCTCACACTGCCTTAACAATCACACGCATATCCTAAACGGAATCGCACACCTGTCGATTCTCCAGATTGTTCGCATTGGCACGATTAATCTATGCAATTCGTATCACGTGTGGCCAGCCAGAAAGGCAAGCGAGCAAGGA